TTGCTGGCGGTGTTTAGAAGGAAACATGATTGCAGGCCTGCCTTGCGGCGGTGTTGTAGAGAAACACATGATTGCAGGCCTGCCTTGCTGGTGGTGTTGTAGAGGAAACACATGATTGCAAGCCTGCCTTGCTGGTGGTGTTGTAGAGGAAACACATGATTGCAGGCCTGCCTTGCTGGTGGTGTAGAGAAACATGATTGCAGGCCTGCCTTGCTGGTGGTGTTGTAGAGGCACGTGATTGCAGGCCTGCCTTGCTGGTGGTGTTGTAGAGGAAACACATGATTGCAGGCCTGCCTTGCTGGTGGTGTTGTAGAGAGGAAACGTGAGTTGCAGGCCCGCCTTGTTGGTGGTGTTGTTGTAGAGAAACACATGATTGCAGGCCTGCCTTGCTGGTGGTGTTGTAGAAACACATGATTGCAGGCCTGCCTTGCTGGTGGTGGTAGAGAAACACATGATTGCAGGCCTGCCTTGCTGGTGTGCTGGGTAGGTTTGTTGAGAAACATTTGCAGGCCTGCCTTGCTGGGGAGTATTGTGGAAAGTGAGTCTGGTTCCCTCCCTCTAGTGGATGGTAAAGGCCTATATTGTAAACACTGTCCATCCGTGATAACTGGCTGAGTTTCCGCTGTCCACTTCACTCTCTCGGCACCGTGTTTATTGACTGTTACTGTTTACCGATCTTTGTCGAATTGAAATTGATGCTTCTGTAACAGTTATGAACTGATCAACAATCATTACAGTGGGTTCTTGAGGGGAGGAGTACCAAAAGGTGTGTGAGGATGGGAAGAGAGTGTGTGAGGATGGGAAGAGAGTGTGTGAGGATGGGAAGAGAGTGTGTGAGGATGGGAAGAGAGTGTGTGAGGATGGGAAGAGAGTGAGGATGGGAAGAGAGAGTGAGGATGGGAAGAGAGGTGTGAGGATGGGAAGAGAGGTGTGAGGATGGGAAGAGGTGTGTGTGTGGGAGGATGGGAAGAGAGGTGAGGATGGGAAGAGAGGTGGGAGGATGGGAAGAGAGAGGTGTGAGGATGGGAAGAGAGAGAGTGTGAGGATGGGAAGAGAGTGTGGGTGAGGATGGGAAGAGAGGTGAGGAGGGGATGGGAAGAGAGGTGGAAAGGATGGAAGAGAGTGTGTGGAGATGGGAAGAGAGAGTGGAGGATGGGAAGAGAGTGTGGAGGATGGGAAGAGAGAGTGTGAGGATGAAGAGAGTGTGTGTGGGAGGATGGGAAGAGAGTGTGTGGAGATGGGAAGAGAGGTGTGTAAGAGGATGGGAAGAGAGTGTGTGTGAGGATGGAAGAGAGGAGGATGAAGAGAAAGTGTGTGGAGGATGGGAAGAGAGAGTGAGGATGGGAAGAGAGGTGTGAGGATGGGAAGAGAGGTGAGATGGGAAGAGAGGGGGAGGATGGGAAGAGTGTGGGAGGATGAGGAAGAGTGTGTGTGTGTGGGTATAGAGTAGAGTGTGTAAGGATGGGGAAGAGAGGCAAAAGGATGGGGAAGAGAGTGTTTGAGGATGAGGAAGAGTGTGTGTGGGTATGGAGTAGTGTGTGTGAGGATGGAGTAGAGAGTGTGAGGATGGAGTAGTGTGTGTGTGAATGGAATAGAGTGTGTGGGGATGGAGTGGAGTGTGTGGGGAATAGAAGGTGATCTGTAAACATTGTCTGGGAAAAAACTGAGGTACAGGATACAATATTGCCTGAGTCTAGTGTAGAATAATTGGTTATGGCATAAATGTCTCTCGAGTACACTGTTACATTGTTAGTTTTTCTAATAGTAATAATACTAAAATGGTGATGAATTTGATTTGCTTCTTTTAATCTATTCTGCTGTTTATTAACTCTCCTCTTTTTCTTACAGACGAGTCACGGTATAACATCCTGCAGGAGACAACGTCGACTGGAGTAAAGAACACATTAGTAATCCACGACGCCCGCCCGGAAGATTTTGGCCTCTACAACTGCACCGCCAAGAACGGCTACGGGTCTAACACCAACGACATAAAGCTCATGAGACAACGTAAGTCACTGTTATTGAGTTAAGTTCCTTGTTCTTTTGAAATTTTCAGCTTAACTTTCAGTCACATGAAACTTCTTTAATGTCAGAAACTCGAGAAGTGTAAAGAGATTATGGGAGGTTAGGTTAGTTTTTTTTTTTTTACGGGAATTAGCCCACCCGGGCACAGGTCAAAAGACCCACAGCGGGGCCTGAGGGGCGAAAAAAAAGAACAGAGAAATTGAAAATAGAGAAGAAAAAGGTTATACTGTGTTAATCTACACCACGAAGATGCCGGAAAACCAGCTTTTTAAAGTGAGACAGATTGTATAAGTATGGAAACACAGAAGAAGGCAGAGCATTCCACAGTTTGGCTGTGTGAGGAAAGAAGGAGGTACTATAACGGGTTATTCTCATGTGACCGACTTCCACAGAGAAACGGTGGGCACCGTGGGCAAGACGTGTGTTACGAGCCCACGGCCTTGCCGGCGGTACACAGGATGCCAAATCCACCGAACATTGCCCGTTAAAGTACCTGTAAAGGAGAGAGAGTGAAGCAACATTGCTGCAAATAGAAAGGGAAGAGAGATTGTCGACTAAAGGAAGAGAGTTAATAAGGTTAGGTTAGGTTAGGTAAATTCTGTAGGTTTGAGATAAATCATACTGACCGTGAGATAATCTCGGACATCACAACAATGTTATGAACTGAAGAGGAAAGAAATGATGCGAATGAGTTATTATCAACCAGTGGGAGAATGACAATGGCGATGAGAAACACACAATGATATATGCTTTTTTGATCCATCAAGTGATGCTTTAATCAGTGTTTTACTGCAACATCGAATATTCTTAGCTATCATCTAGACATTGTAAAAGATAAACTGGTTTATTAGTTAGCTGAATAATATGTCTGGGTATAATCATGAAACTGTCAATGGAAGTAATGACTACCCAGCAAAATATCTAAGCAGATGATCATAATAGGAAGATTAGCACCAAATTTCAGGTAAATTTGTAAATCTTTCCCAAGACACTGAATGGTGTTGACCTAATAGTGACAGACGGACGAACTGACAAACATAACGATATGTGCCCCTACCATATGCCAGGAGCATAAAGATAGTTATGTTATGAATATTAAAAGTTAACTTTAAATTTATCTGATGGTGTCTCTCTATAAACTTGATAGAGGTTTTATTTTCTTTGCACAAATACAAAAACATGATATCATCACAGGTACTCATTATCAATCAACAGCAAGGCTCACAATATTTTACGAGGCAATTAATTGTTTCATGATACAGGAGTTAAAGGTCGGGAATGTGTTCCAAGACTGAAATATAATATTTTACATCATGAAAAGAAACAACTGAACGGTTACGACGATGTAAGAGTTTAGGACTGTTAAGGCTCAACTCTGGTGCCGCCACGAGATCTATTTCCTCAAGAATATACCTTATCAATACTGTATGTGATAGATTAGTTACTGTAATTGTTATATTAGTAATCGATCTTAATTTAAGCATTTATTAAGATAATTTTGGAGGTATAATTTTAATTTATTAACAACAAGAAAACCGGACATTAGCATCTCTTAATCCTGTTCTCTCTCAAGTGACGTCATCAGAGACCTGAAAAATATCTAGCACGTTTTGTTTTGAATTTTATATATATACAGTATATATATATATATATATATATATATATATATATATATATATATATATATATATATATATATATATATATATATATATATATATATATATATATATATATATATATATTGAAGATAAAGTGTCCTCGTGTTTTGTTATTTTCACTGGACTTAAATTTTTTAGTAATATCAGTTTTTAAATCTTTGAGTGTTACATAGATAAGAAGTTTGTATCTGGAGTTGTTCTCTTATTTATATTAATACATCTGGACTTTAACGTCAACACCTGGGTCTTTCATTATTATGATTTACAATGGTTCAGTAATCCTGAAACAAGACGAACTTCCAGCGGGGTAAAGGAATATGGAAGGATGTGAGTAGCTATTGTAACACCATGTATTATATAGAGTATGTCTCGTGTTATGAGTTGAGGACATAACAAACCTTCCATGTGAATACAACGAGAAGTCTTATATGTGTATATTGTGTTTTGGAACATCGTTGTTAACAAACTGGGTTTTCTATGAAATATTGTAGTTTTCATTAAACATCGTTTATCTTTTTCTTTTCTTTGACTACTGACTTGTTTTTTGTTATGTATTAAACTAACATTAGTTAATCATAATATCTTTTTTAACTTTATCTATTACATGAATATGTTACTTTCTTTTCATGTGTTAATTGCTTGGTTGTTAACACTGTAGAGAGGAAGGCAAACATATTACCAGATTTTAATTAATGTCTTTTTTTAGTGTGCATGTTGACAGTTTTCATTATGTAGAAGAAAATGTTAAGTAAATCCTACTAATATTATATCTCTCACAACTTTGATTTATTAACACTATATATATATATATATATATATATATATATATATATATATATATATATATATATATATATATATATATATATATATATATATATATATATATATATATGTGTGTGTGTGTGTATAAAACTACCGATATAGCTTGAAAGGCAATGCGTTGTTGCCAGGAAGGAATAACTTTTATGTTTTATTGCTACACCTTAATGGAAATTAGTTTGTAATGAATAGAATTTGCTCCTTCATTTAAGACGTCGTTGACCAACATAATAGAGCCAAACTATATCTAAATTAGTGAAGGTTAGGTTAGGTTAGGTTAGGTTTTTATGAATTTATTCATCTACTTGTATTAGTATTATGACGATCATCATGATCATCTATGGACAGTCTGCTGTTAAAAAAAATACCTAGAAGTTATCACTATTATGTAATTACAGTGTCATATTTAGTGCAGCATATTATAATGTAGTGTTAGGTTAGGTCCAAAATATTTCAGCGACGTGAACTTTGACTGTATTACACACGTCTTAAGAACGACTCACACCAAATTTGAATCGAATCCGAAGTCATTACGGGACGGCTTAAGTATATCCCTGATAAAGGCGCACTGATGACCAGACGCAGGTCGGGAGGGTCCGGTTGTTATTCTATGACAATTTCATCCAAATTTATGGAAAAATTCAAAGTTGACTAACTTACAGTATTATTAATGAAAACTGTAATAAAGAAATTGAAACACTATTGCATGTTCAATGCGAAATTGGGTAGAAGACATTTAAAATCAACAAACAAGACATTACCGAGTTGAATCAGTCATCACAATCGCCTAGTAATCCGAATCTGATGATTGGACCTTCAAATTTTAGGGATCATTTTTTGATGTAGGTTAATTGCTGGAGAAACTATTACTGGATACCTAAACTGATGACTGGACCAGATCACTGCCTCTCCACACAGTCATAGACGGCACGAACACCCTCTGCACGCCCTAAACAACACAGGATCCATTCATCAAACCGCCAGCGCTTCAGAAGGATCGTTCTGTGAGGATCTACTCAAGGGTGCTGTTGACCAAGACCTTCCCGTCCCACTACTCCCCACAGACACTTTGCTGGTGCAGGAAGTGACAGATCTCTAATCGCGACACACTTGGTGATGTCACACACTCGAGGGTCAAAGGAGCCCTGTACGACCGGATCAACCGAAATATATCATAAGTATGTTTCCATCTCTCTGAGCAATTCTCTTGAGATATCACAACATGGCAGGCCGCTCAAAAAGGCTCGTTCAGTCAGTGGACCTTCCTTCCAATACTTGGTAGATTCAAGTGACACCAACAAACTCAGGTTGATCATTAAGAGAGATCTTCAGCGGGTACAGTACATGACCTTGCTAATGGTTCTGTATAGAGAGGGAAGGAATTTTGTTCCAACTTAATCCCTTAATCCTAAACTGAACATGTCCGGATTCATCCATTTGTTGGTGTAAATAATGCTGACATAAAGTGAAAAAACTTGTATGTCACATGTCCTGAAATAGCATGAAATATGTGTGTATATAATAATAATAATAATAATAATAATAATAATAATAATAATAATAATAATAATAATAATTAACGGTTTATTGAAAAAATTCTGCAGCCAGAAGGCTGAAAATATACATTGGACATAAATGACTTATTACATACATTGGTGGTTTAACAAAAGCCTTCATTAGAGAAAGGTAAAGGAACATACAGTGAACATACAGATTAATGTAGGTGTTGAACAGCAAACTCGTAGTGTAGTAACTCCCTCCCAGATGGTGTTAGGAGGAACTCACGTGGTGTAGTAGTTCCCTCAGATGGTGTTATGAGGGACCTGGCGTGGTGTAGTAATTCCCTCACGCAGATGGTGTTATGAGGGACCTCACGTGGTGTAGTAATTACCTCACAGATGGTGTTATGAGGGGCCTCACGTGGTGTAGCAGATGGTGTTATGAGGGGCATCACGTGGTGTAGTAATTCCCTCACAGATGGTGTTATGAGGGGCCTGACGTGGTGTAGTAATTCCCTCACAGATGGTGTTATGAGGGACCTCACGTGGTGTAGTAATTCCCTCACAGATGGTGTGATGAGGGACTTGACGTGGTGTAGTAATTCCCTCACATATGGTGTTATGAGGGACATGTGGTGTAGTAATTCCCTCACAGATGGTGTATTATATGAGTGAGGTTTGGTCTTAGGCCTTCCTATCGTAGACGGATTAACACATCGCTGGTTGTTGTTGGGTCTCACGGGCAGTTATCACTGGGTACCTGGGACCTCACTGTGTGAAGGTTAACTTGAGTACGACTGTTACTGTTGAGTTGTTCTCACTGACTTAAGCACTGTTCACCACTGTTCACCTCTGTTTAACACTGGTTCCGTTCCTTTCCTAAATGAAATTGTAACTTCTGGCGAGAACTTGTTGATATTCCGGTGGGGAGGAGGGTTCAGGGGAGGGGGTTGGTATGGGCCAACTAACAGTTGACCTGGCTGCTCCGAGAGGAGCGCCAGGTACGTCTTGACCCTTCGGTGGTCAAGGTGTATGTGTGTATATGTGTGTGTGTGTGTGTGTGTGTGTGTGTGTGTGTGTGTATGTGTGTGTTACACTAGATGGGGACAATTATCAATGTATTTCACTCCCTTTTGGAAATTTCTGACTGGTCACAAGCGATCATGAGCATTATCATAACTTAACCTCACTTAAGCTAACCTGAACGCCTTTAGGTATAATCTGGCTGTTTTTTGTTGGTATACGACGCCTTAAATTATACAGAGCAGAATATTTATATATACACATTAATTTTCATTAAGTTATAACAATAAAAAACAAATTATCCCTACACGACAGTTCTTTTATAAGGCTTAGTCGGCGGTGGTCTCTATTTAGTTTGACAAATATATATATTCCTTTCTTTATTTGATACACACTCTATTCTTCTTCTTTAACTGCCGTGACAGTGTGCCACATCGACAAGGAAATGGCCATTAAAATAGCCTTCAGAGGTCAGTCAGTAGAAGTAGAAATTGACTTGAATATATTTTTAAATATTCGCTGCTTTATCACCTGCTTTTTAGTGTGTTGGTTATGCATCTCATAGGTGAGGTATACGCATCCCATATTATGTGTAAACCTTGCATATGTTATTATTATTATGTTTCCTTTATTTAATGTTTGAGTTACCGTTACAACAAGTAATCATCGACATTTGTATTATTTGTTATCTTAATGTATTGTACATGTTGGAGATGATGGTCTAGGATTCTAGGTAGTAAAGGCCAATGGTAGACCAGAGACAATGAACATCAATGGACAGCTTAATACCCCGATACATCGCTGTGTTGTGAGCATGTGTAAACAGTCGCTCATCAAGGTGGCTGCAGAATAGTGTGTTGCTTCTGGGTGCTGTACCGTTAACTCATTAAACTCGTGATATAACCAGCCACATCTGTCTTTATTCTTTGTTGTGGGAAAGAAAAGTCTTGAGCGCTGGTCCACAGTCTATTACAGGGATATAAGTTTTGTCTCCTAACATTATATGTCGAGGTGCAGTCAGCCTGCACTAGGCTGTTAGTCGACTTAGCTTTATACATTAGGGCCTAGAACAAAAGTTTCTGAAAGTATTTAATTTTAATAGATGCGTTTATAACCCGATGAAAAAGAACATTGTCCCTGACGAAGTGTTGAAAACGAAAATACTGAATGTACACACGAACGGAACTAAGAATATTCACTGTTGACCAGCGAATCGTTGTTGTTGTTGGGAAGAAATAAAAAATACTGAGGAGTAAACTTTGTATTCACTCCTCAGTTATATTAAAATAAAATGTGAAAATTTCTCCAGTCATTTAGGGTAAGAGGTACTTTTAGGCTAAGCGATGGTCCCGGAGCCATCATTACTGATTTAGTCTCGCCCTTAGGGTACAGCTGTCAGAGGGAGAGCTTGGTAATTATTGGAAAGAGAATCTGTCATGATGTGATTCCAGAGAGGGTGTCTCAGCTTGTGTAACCTTGCCAGATATATAATATTTTATTTCTAGAAGTAAAAAAATCTCTAAGACGTAATAGAGATTTACTTCAGTGATCCAATCAGTTATCCAATCTCTGTCAAGCATACAGCTAATTTTCAAATAACTTCAGACCATCAACATCTCGAGAGATGATCTTGTAATAATTTCATTGGATGTATTTAATGTTTCCATTCGTAATTTTCTACGTCTAATGTACCCGAGGAGTGGCTCTTCACCCTTACCGTTGGTTATGTGGAGTACACCAGCTTTTATTTAGTTTAACAAATTTATTGACAAAGCTTGGAGTACAGTTTGCCCATTCTGAGTAGTTCAGTCAGGTCTTGACACTGAGGGTGGTATCACTTCTCACTGCCACGCAGGACAGAGGTTCATACACAAAGGAATAGATCATATTCATTAACAGTATATATATATATATATATATATATATATATATATATATATATATATATATATATATATATATATATATATATATATATATATATATATATATATATATATATATATATATATATATATATATATATATATATATATATATATATATATATATATATAAAATCACACGGGAAAAGGGAAACAACAGAGCACCTTAGCATTCGTCTTTATTCAAGACATCTTCAGAGGCAACTGGATTACATGGACAGAGAGGCTTAAATATACAGGGTGACCTTAAAAACATGAGGTCAGGTCATAATGATGTCATCCACTAATCCCCACACCAACACCCACGTAGAGGAGCTTGAGAGAAAGGGGGGTGACGTGACTAGTCAGGTCAGGTAAAAAATAAGGGACCCACTAAATAACTATCAAACATCTAGATCAAAGGTTTTCAAAGCATTTTTAACCTTGGGCCACTGACAAATAAATTTATGAAACATATTATCAGTTTTGAACTGACCATCACTAAGGTTTATTGATTTTAATTCCTTAATCAAACTACAAATTTAAGGTATGGGCACAGGGGTGGGGGAAACTGCAGTGGGAGCGGGTAAACAAAGTAAAAGATTACAGGGAAATAGTGTTAGGAATGATGACAAAACTAAATTAAACAGGGAGTTTAAAACTAAACGCGGTAAAGGGAGGACTCAGAACACGACTAACTTAAAGGTCTACTACGCGAACAGTAGAAGCATGAGAAACAAAATGGATGATATTAGGGCCTTGGTATGTACCGAAAAAATCGATATAATAGCATTGACTGAAACATGGATCAACCTAGACTCACGCGAGTTGCCGGTCGAATACCAAATTGCGGGTTACCAATTGTTCCATACCGATAGGCAAACCAGGAAAGGAGGCGGAGTTGCAATCTATGTTAGGGGTAATCTGAATGTGAAATAAATAAGGAAATAAAAACTGAGAGGAATACAGAAACAATTTGGATAGAATTAAGCGACGGTAGGGAAAAATTAATCACAGGAGTAATATATAGACCTCCCAATCTTGATAGAGTCAATGAGCGACTTATCTGGGATGAAATGCGCAGGGCTTCCATACACAACAAAGTCTGTATAGTAGGCGACTTTAACCTTGGCCAAATAGATTGGACTGACCTTACGGGTAACTCAGAATCAGAGGATTTTCTCGAGACGATCCAGGACTGTTTCCTAAGTCAACATATAACCGAACCCACACGGGGTAATAATATACTCGATTTAGTTCTGTCGAACAGAGAAAACCTCATTAGCAATGTCGAGGTAGGGAACGAACTTGCAAACAGCGATCACAAAGAAATTCGATTCCAGTTAGATTTTCAGGGCAGACGTAAGGAAAATTCCACTAAAGTACCAGATTTCAGAAGGGCAAACTTTGACAGTTTAAAGAGGCAGCTGAGAGAGGGGGTGTCGCGCTTGGCCGTGAACCTGACAGATGACTCCGACCTGATAACGACATCTGAGACTGCCGAGTTCCACGTCAATTTAAATAATGAGTTACTTAATGCACAGAGGCAGAACATACCATACAAAAAACTCAGATCAGACAACAATGACCCTAAATGGATAAATAATTATTTAAAGAACATCATTGGCCAAAGGAAGGCTATAGGTAGAAGGATAAAGCGTGGCGAAATTTACCTCCAGGATTATTATAAGATATTGGCGAGTAGGGTTAAAACCGAGATAAGGAAAGCCAAGAGGAATAATGAGGTAAGGATAGCAAGGGAGGCGAAAACAAACCCCAAAGGATTCTACCAAATGTATCAAACTAAAACACGAGAAAAGATTGGACCAATACGGTCAGACTCCGGCGAGCTCACTGATAACGACAGAGAAATGAGCAATAATTTGAATAAATATTTTTCAACAGTTTTCACCACCGAAAATTTAAACATGATACCCGAGGCACCGACTCTATTCAGAGATAGTGAAGAAAACAAATTGAGTGAGATAGTAGTGACTAGTAACGATGTTAGTAAGCAAATAGACAAACTAAAGCCTAATAAGTCACCTGGTCCCGATGAGATATTTGCCAGAGTATTAAAGGAATGTAAGGAAGAGCTTAGTATGCCCTTAGCTAAGTTGTCTAACATGTCCTTAAAAACAGGTGTAGTACCAGAATCCTGGAGGATAGCGAATGTAATGCCGATTTTCAAGAAGGGGGATAGATCACTATCCTCTAACTATCGCCCAATCAGTCTAACATCAATAGCAGGCAATTTACTGGAAGCAATCATTTCAAACTCTATTCGAAATCACCTGGAGAAGCACCGATTGATCAATGATTCCCAGCATGGCTTCACAAGCGGACGTTCTTGTCTAACTAATCTATTAACATTCTTTTCATCAGTTTTCGAATCGGTGGACGAGGGGCACAATTATGATGTGGTATATCTCGACTTTAGCAAAGCCTTCGACAGAGTCCCCCACGAAAGACTAATTAGAAAGGTAGAAGCTCATGGCATCAAAGGTAACATCCTTAAATGGATTAGGGCGTGGTTACAGGACAGGAAACAGCGAGTGAGCATTAACGGCACTAAGTCCCATTGGAGCAACGTCACAAGTGGAGTTCCCCAAGGCTCAGTACTTGGACCATTATTATTTATTATATACATAAACGACATAGATATCGGCATAGACAGCAACATAAGTAAATTTGCTGATGACACTAAAATAGGACTTGTTATTAAATCTGACGAGGACTCAGCAAAACTACAGGAAGATCTAAACAAATTTTTCGAATGGTCTGAAAAATGGCAGATGAAATTCAACGTGGACAAATGTAAAGTACTCAGTATAGGAGATGTAAACAGGGAAACCAGATACCAGATGAACAACGATGCCATAGAGAAATCCGACTGCGAGAGAGATTTAGGAGTAATGATAAGTAGGAACCTTAAGCCAAGTAAACAATGTGTTTTTGCTCGTAACAAGGCTAATAAAGTACTTGGGTTCATACAAAGGAGTGTTAGTTACAAGACTAGCGAGGTCATCCTAAAACTGTATCTTGCTCTTGTGAGACCACACCTGGATTACGCAGTTCAGTTCTGGTCACCGTATTACAGAATGGATATAGAATCATTGGAAAGAATTCAGAGGAGAATGACAAGACTAATCCCGGGCATTAGGAACCTTGAGTATAGAGACAGGTTAAAGCACCTTAATTTGCACTCCCTCCAGAGCGTAGAGCGAGGGGCGACCTGATAGAGGTGTATAAGTGGAAGTCAGGGCTAAACAAAGGGGACATTACAAAGGTGCTCAAACTATCCAACCAGGAGCGAACTCGTAACAATGGTTTTAAATTAGACAAATTTAGATTTAGGCGTGAAATAGGTAAACACTGGTTTGGAAACAGAGTTGTGGATGAATGGAACAAGTTACCAAATATCATCATTAACTCGAATACGCTGAATAGCTTCAAACATAGGTTGGATGCTTATATGAGCAATCGGGGTTGGGTGTAAACGGGACCGCCCAGTATGGGCCAATAGGCCCGCTGCAGTTTCCTCCATTCTTATATTCTGTTGTTCT